GCTGAAAAGGTCGATCATCGGCGCCCAGACGAATTTTGATCCTACTGTAATAGAGAATTTGGCTACCAGCATTTCAAAACGTATTATTGTGTTCCTTATGATTATTGGGGGTCATCCCATTATTGAAAATTCGTGACGTTTTTTCGTTATAGTAAAATCTCTCGACAAGTGATGTGTAGTCATATTTGCGAAACGGTGAAAATACGTTCTAAGGAAGATATTTTAATAATTCTGAATCGAGATTTCTCCAGAAATCAAGTATCAAGGTTTTTCGTTATGGGGAAACTATTGGTAATAGCGGCATTTTCCAAAAATGCACAGCAACTTTGGAATAGCAAAAATTTAGGGTGGACCTATATTTATGAAACGCAGTGTATATTACCGCTTCCTAAGAAATCGCCTTACTCGGATCCGAACAATTATAGGCCTGTTAGTTTAACTTCCATTTTTGCTAGAGTTTTTGAGAAAGTAATCAAAAAGTATTTGATTTCACATTTAGAGAAACACAGTATCATTCCCTCTTCGCATCATGGTTTTTGTGTAGGTAGATCTGTGGAAACTTCAGTTCTATATTGTATGAATGCTTGGACAAAGGCGATGGAAGCTAGAGAAAACGTTGATGTAGTCTATCTAGACTTTAGTAAAGCATTCGATAGGCTGTCACATAAAGTTTTAATTCGCAAGTTAAATCATATTGGTGTGCACCCGTTAGTTTTAAATTGGATTGAGGATTTTCTCAAGAATAGAACGTTTCAAGTCATGGTAGGCGATGCTTTGTCGACTGTGCGAGTGGCATGTAGCGGTGTGCCTCAGGGTGGTGTACTATCTCCGGTATTATTTAACATTTTCACTGCTGACCTTCCTCACATTTTCCAGGACATAGGTGTCTCTTGCAACATTTATGCAGACGACATTAAGTTGTACAAAATCGTAGAAGACAAGAATAAGGATGCATTTCTGCAAATGGCAATTGATAGGACTGTTCGTTGGGTCAAAGAAAATGGCCTAACTCTATCCGTTGAAAAAACGCAAGTCATGCGCATAGGTGCACACATACATGAGCCCGCTTACACAGTGGACAACGTTGTCCTGAAACAAGTATCTGAAGTTCGTGATTTGGGTTTCTACTATGACTACAAGTTAAACTTCAATAAGCATTACAAATCACTGGTGGCTAAGGGTCTCAGAAGGACTTTTAATCTATTTAAAGCCCTTAGGACGAAAGACCCATGTACTTTGCTGCGTGCATATAAAATTTACGTAAGGCCTATTGTGGAGTGTGGAACTACGGTATTTAATCCGCATTTGAAAAAGGATATACAAGCTCTTGAAAGTGTTCAAAACAATTTCACACGAAAACTTATGATTAGATGTACGGGTTTAAATTACTCGACCATACCCAGCGGGCATTTTAGGAATGTTGAATATGGGTTAAAGTCGTTGGAATGGAGAAGATTGCGGTATGATTTGCTCATGACTTTCAAAATTCTTAGGAGTCTTGTTAACTTGGATGCATCTGACTTTTTTCAAGTCTTGCCGTGCAGCAGAAGAGGTGCATCGATTAGACTAACAACGGCCCTTGCCAGGTCCCAATGTAGGTCGAAGTTCTTCAGCAATAGAGTGCGTTCTTGTTTTAATCGTGTTTTACGCTCCAATTTGTTCTTTTCGAAGTATGTCACTTTCAAGAAAAACATTGGTGAGATCATTTGAATGGAGACGGTTTGTTGCACTTGGTTATGTTGTTACTGTCGTTACTTTAGTTTGTGTTGCTGTTACATGTGTGTCTTCACATGTCCATAAATAAATCTAGATAAATAAATCAAATTAAGAGGCTAGTTTATGGGGCTAACTCTTCGCCTCTAGCGGGGAATCGAATCCGCACTCCTGCTTCCGGTGATTACGCTACCGATTACACTACCGGAGCACCGTTTCACCTCATGCTTAGACCAGCTTGTTATGGTATGTTTACCATAGCTCATAACCAGTCACACGTATGACATGATATACCGATTAACCGACATCGGCATTGAACCGCAAGACCAAAAGCTCTCGCAAACATTGATTTTTGATTAACCAATTAAACA